TGTTTCAATTATTTTTATAAATGAGTGAGAGTTTTCATGGTAAACTTGAGAGTGATAAACATTTTTTTTTTAAATTTTTTTTTCAATAATTATTGCTTTAAATTTTAATCTAAAAGTCAGGTCTCTACAAAAATATTATAAATTTGTTAATATTATTGTTAACAAAGGTGTCTAAAAAATATTTGAATTTTACATTATGTTTAACAAAAGTTCGTTTTCAATAATGCAATGTCAAGTTTTTTTTTTTTTTTTTTTTTGTGGATGTTTGGAAAAATGCCTTACGCATTTACAGTGTATGGTCATAGCAATGATATGTACCTCTTGTAAGTCACGTTAAACTCTCTTCTCATATTTAGAGCGTTTGTTTAAATTTAAATAAATTGATGAATTCTTTGTTATTTTTGAATTTTTTTTCTCTGACAAATTTTTTTTAAATATTTTTTTTTTTTTTTGGAATTTTAGGGTGTTTCAAAAACGACTTAATGTGTCTGGCGTCCTCTTTTCGAATGATTTTAGGTAAATGTAACTAATTTCAAGCAATTCGAAGCTTGCTTTAGATTTTGGCTTCAATCAATCCCCGCCAATCATTTCCATTTTCTCAATATGCCTGTATTTTAACACAATCGCTTTAAATCACCAGCTTCAACACGCTCTTTTCTCTTTCGCCGCCACTATCACTCAATTTATTGCATATTTGGCTTTCCTGTTTGTTTACATTTTTCTCATTCTGCAAATATGCTTTTGCACTCCAGTCACTACATAAACATTTCTAACGGTATTCTAATGACAACGGTATTATTGTTATATATATATTGCTTGCTTATTTTAAACGCGTTCACCCCTCTGCTTGCCCAAACACAGCCGAGTTCGTTGCTTAAGTCTTCTGTGCGACCAACATTATACGCTTTAATTCACAGTTATTTATTAAAGTATTGCATAATTTTTCAATTAATTCAATTTAGTATAAATTTACGTGCCTAATTCCTTTCACACATGCTCCCTTATTCTCGTGTGTATGAAAATTACGCGTCCGTTTAAGAGCCGCAGACATGAACGTACCGCACGCGTGCGCTTACCAAACTCGACTGAAACGGTTGGCAATCGGTGCAAGGCATTAAGTGTGGTGAGTGTTTGTTGGACACACACACACACACGGTGTGCCACCGCAGTGGTTAGCTTCTTCAGCGTTGGCCTTCAACACGCAGTCGGCGGTTAACAGTGGTTCGCCAGCTGTTGCTAACAGTGGTTCGCCAGCTGTTGTTAACAGTGTGCTGTTGCCGTTGCTTCTGTGTGTTGTGAAATGCATTTGGTGCGCAGCTAGTTGCTTTCGTGTGTGTGTGTCTGTGATTTTGCTTGACTGTGCCACTTGGCACGTGTTGCAAGTTGTATTGTGTTCGATGTGGCGTTTGCTTGGTGAAATTCTTGCATGCATTTGTGTTGTGAAACTCTGCAGTTGGAATTTCACGTTTTTTGGGCGGTCCATTTGCTGGTTAACTAGTTTGTTTGACTGCCTATTTGTTTGCTTGTGGCAAAGTGGCGCTTATTATGTTGCCGGCAGTAATTACATGTTGTTTTGTGTTCTCATTTAATTTTTTTTGTTTAAGTAACATACATATGTGTCTAAGTATTTATATGTGTTTTTGTATATGCAGATATTCAATTGAATGGTATTGCTAATTGAGTGTGGTTTTATGCTTCATTTAGTGTTGAGATATGACAATTTCTGGCATTTGATGTATAAATTTTATGACTACGTTAGTTTTTAACTTGATTTTATCAACTGAAACCCCGGCTTTGGCATTAATAATAATATTTTACATATTGCTTTGAAATATTTGAATATATATCTACTATTTTCAATAATTAGTAATCGCTACAAAATGAAAAAAAAAAATGTGGTTTGTGGAAAAAATTCTTTTTTTTATTATTATTTTCCAGAAAAGTATAAGAAACGCTACCTGCATGTATGTGAAAAAGAAAATGTGTTGATTTTTATAGCATGTTCTCATCAAATTTACCCATTTAGTAACCAATGATAGAGTAATGTGTCTTTAAAATTGTATCTTCTCATTCGTGGTGACTTTTCGGTTTTAAAGTTGTATTATGTTTCCCTTCCACTAAGCTTGTTTAAGTTTTGTATTAACATTTTACACTAATATTAAGAGTTTAGATAAGCCAGCATAGTTGTTGTTGGACAACTGTTTACTAAAATTTATATTTGGTAGTCGAAAAAGCCTTTTCGTATTTCTAATCAAACTTCAACTTACTTTTTTTTATAAGTGTAATGAACTTCAATGAACCAAATTTGTACCATTTTGGTCGACCACTTTTTGACATTTTTCCGCTAGAAACATTATTCCATCAGCGTACTATTTTTTTGTTTTCTCCGCGAAAAACGTAACAAGTAATTTTCGCAGGCCTTTCTTGAAGCCAACTATACTCCATTAAGGGTTGTCTGCATTGACCAAAACAAGTAGTATTCCGCTGGTGTACTGTCAGGGCTATATGTCGTGCATCAAAACTTCCCGGCCAAACTCTTCCAGTTTTTTCCGAGTCATGTGAAGATTTGTGTGGTCTAGCGTTGTCCAGATGGAAGACGTAGTTCTTTCTGTTGATCAGTTCTGGTGGTCTTTTCGATTGCTTGCTTCAATCTCATCAGATGTTGACAGTAAAATGTAGAATCAATCGTTCGACCAGGCAATGGATGATTCTTTCCAATCCCACCAAACACTCATCATAACCCTTCGAGGCGTCAACCCTGGCTTTGCGACCAAGTCAATTTGTTGGGCTTTACCAAGCTTGGACCATGCACTTTTTCGCACATTATTGTCGTTTTTGATGCACTTTTCGTCTCCTGTTACCATTTCCTTCAGAAATGGCTTGATTTCATTTCGTTTCAGCAAATAATTGCAGATGTTAATTCGGACCAATAAATTTTTCACAGATAATTCATGTGGTATCCAAACATTGAGCATSGTTTTGTAGCCAGCCTAGTGATTATTTTAATGTGACATTAGGCACAGATGTCGCTGACAATCATACCAACCTAGAAAAAGAAATATTTCGATGAAATTTAAATTAAATGGTTTTGCTATT